GCATGAGCATCTGGTCTAGTTTAAAGACTTTGAGCAGAGGGGATTACGTGAGCTCTTGTCCTACCCATTTTAGGGGCTAGCTGTTCTTGCAGCTGTTACTATTCTTCATTGTGTCTAATTTAAGCCTTTCTTGCACAGAATACAGTTGCTAAAGTAGGAAGGCTACTGAATGTCCTGCGGGTAATGGGTAACTCCCTTCTTATTTTGTGGGGAATGTTTTCAGAAGACGACCTTCTGCTCTGTCAGTCATATGTGAAGCTCCTGATTGAATATTAACTATAGAAGGATCTTGTCCACATTGTCTTAATTCTCAAAAGCTGTTTAAAAATCAGTCTCTTAGGTGTGGTAAGCATACTCCTTTAATCCCAGCACTTGGGAGGCAGAGGAAGGGGGATCACAGCAAATTTGAGGCCAGCCTGGTCTATGTAGAGTATTTCAGGCCAGTCAGGGCTACATAGTGAGACTATATCTCAGAAAACAAATAAGGAGAGCACCTGATTAGCCAGGATAGAAACTATTAGAGTTCCAGAAGTGGTCAAACATAGAGTATAAGTGTCTATGAGAAGCTTAACCCTAAGTGACGCATCTTCAATGTAACCTCTACACATAGGATGAATGCATCTCTCAACTCTCACCAGAGAGGTTTCCTTTGCAGCAGATGGTGATTGACACAGAGACCCACAATTTGCCACTGTGCAGAGAACAAGAGAGTGATAAGCACAGAATGCTTATCACTGAATAGGGCACCTGTTTCAAATCTGATTCCTAAGGTTCAGTGATCATTGCAGAAGTGAAAAGATTATAAGAGCCATAGGGGATGGATGACCACAAGGAAACAGAGCCTTCCAAATAGCTGATTAGATGACTCACAGCAACAGTGAAAGCATGCTCAAATTCCATGCAAGCTCAAACCAGACAAAATTCCAGGATAGGCATGAGGAAGTGAATAAAAAAAATCCCAGCCCAACCTAAGGACTTTTGGCAATTGATGACTGTTGGGAGGAGGGAGAGACGGTCATACATGGATGGGATGTTTAGTGGGCCCAGTGGATGGACCCACACTGGAGGTTGTTTGGGGACACAAATCGGACACTATAGGCCATATTATATAAATAAGAGAGTACATTAAATTGGGGAAGGGGCAGTGGGGGGAGATGTGGATAGGGGAGGGGATCTAAATACCATTAAACTGTATTGTATGAGAAATCATAAAAGTTTAAAGCCAGGCGTGGTGGTGCATGCTTTTAATCCTAGCAGAGACAGGCTGATCTCTGAGTTCAAGGCCAGCCTGGTCTACATAGTGAATTCCAGGCCAGTTGCGGCTACAGGGGGACCCTGTCTCAAAAAGAAAAAGAAAAAAAAGAAAAGAAAAAATTTTAAATTCAACAAAAAATAAAAATATTTTAAAAACAAAAAGTAAGCAAATTTAAAATGCCAATCTTGAACTCCTTTGGATATTATATCTCTTGTAAAAGTGGAAGAATTGTAATTTACAAATGAATGTTTCCAAGAAAATTTTCAGGCAGTGGGATCCCCAACTGGGTAGGCTCCAGTGAGTTGTTAGAACAGTGACATCTTATAAATGTTTTCGAGTAGGGAAAGTGGTCACAGCTCTTACTTCCGACTCAGAATTGCTCATCTTATTAGTAACATGTTGTTCTAGTTGTTTCCTCTTTTCCAGAGTACCCACATTTGTAGTTCCAGGTTCAGACAGAGCCTTAGTTCCTTTGAAGCCTCCTTTATTTGTTATCCCTCTAACCTAGACTTGTGTGTGTGTGTGTGTGTGTGTGTGTGTGTGTGTGTGTGTGTGAAATGTTTTGTTGTTGTTTTTTGTTTGTTTGTTTGTTTTGAGACTGACTTGGAACTCACTGTGCAGACTAGGCTGGCCTCAAACTTAGAGCTCCACACTAGTTATGGTGGCGCACACCTTTAATCCCAGCACTTGGGAGGCAGAGGTAGGCAGATCTATGAGTTCAAGGCCAGCCTGGTCTACTATTGAGTTCCCGGCCAGCTAGGGCTACAGGGAGACCCTGTCTCAAAAAGACCAAAAAAAAAAAAAACCAAAACGCCCAAACAAAAAACAAAAAACCTCAGAGATCCACCTGCCCCTGCTGTGTTGGGATTAAAGGCATGTGCCACCCCTTCCAGTAACTTAGACTTTTCTAACAGAAACACACTTGTCTATGCCCATTGCACTCCGAGGGCAGAGAGGCCCTCAGTTACCAAGCCATGTCTAGCTTCCTGGAATTCCCACAGGTGACTTTGAAAAGAGCTTTTCTGGTTATTTTTTTCCAGTGCTAAGGATTGAGTCCAGGGCCTCTCTGTGTAGCCAAGTGCTCTACCATTGAGCTGCACACATAAGCCCTCTGCCTATCTTTATCAGTGTTCAAGACCTTTGTAAAAAAAATAAAAATAAAAAAAAATGTGGGTATAGATTCTAGAAACCTACCTCCTGGGTATAGAGATACTGGTAACTTCATTTTCTCAACTGAGAAACATTAAACTACTAGCTGAGGGGCTATTTAAGTCTCATATTGGGAAATAATAGGCTAAGTCCTGAGCTTTGACCTGCTAAAACACTCTTTTCTAGCTGCCAAGCTGTGATAATAAAAGACATTCATCCTTTGGTAACTCAAGTGGGCAGAGGCAGGGTAGGGTTAGGCGGTAAGGAATAGTTTGTATGAGAAGTATAGACCACACCTGGCCTGGCACTTGGAGAGTAAGAAGCTGTGGGCCACATCTACAAGCTCCTGTTGAGGAGCTTCCTTTAAACTTACCTAACTTTTGGTTGATTGGAGATAGTTAATTTTTAGGGTTACAAATGTACTTTTAGACTTCATAGCCTTAGATGTTGAGAACTGATAGGTTAATGGTAGATTCTTTAAAGATAAATATTATGACCAATCTAGGAAAAAGTCATCTAGTGGAAAGTCATCTAGGCCAATACTAAGGCCTTTATCTGCATTCAATTTACTGTGCAGTTCTTTTTTTTGAGATAGGGTCTCATGTAATCCAGTCTAGACTGTCCTCAAACTTGTTGTGTAAGAAAGCTGGCTTTGAACTCCTAATCCTCCTGCCTCTACCCCCTTGCCTTAAAGGAGGAGTATGTCACCATGTGCAGCTGTGCAGCAGTTCTTCAATTTTTAAAAAAGATATATTTTTATTTTATGTGTGTTGTGTGAGTGTCTTGCCTATATGTATGTATGTGCTCCTTAAGAAGGCATTGGATGTCCTGGAACTGGAGTTACAGATGGCTGTTGGCCCCTGTGTAGATGCTGGGATCTGAACTTGGGTCTTCTGGAAGAACAGCTTTTTCTTTTCTTCTTTTTTTTTTTTTTTTTTTTTTTTTGGTCTTTTTGAGACAGGGTCTCCCTGTAGCCCCAGCAGGTCTGGAACTCACTATGTAGACCAGGTTGGCCTTGAACTCAGAGATCTGCCTGTCTCTGCCTTATGAGTGTTGGGACTAAAGGTATGTGCCACCATGCCCAGCTGCAAGTGCTCTTAACTGAGCCATCTCTCCAGCTTTCTTTTAACTAAAAAAAAAAATTTTTTTAATTTTTTATTATGTGTATGTGTATGTATGTGTGTGTCTGTGTGGGAGTATGCATACATGTGAGTACAGGTGCCCACAGAGTCCAGAAGAGGGTGTTGGATCCTCTGGAGCTGGAGTTACAACCTGATATGAACTGATCTTTGGCTCTCTGCAAAAGAGCATGTACCATTTGGTACATGCTCTTAACCACTGAACCATCTCTCCAGCCCCTCTTTTACATTTCTAAACATTTTTTTGTGTGTATATGTATATGTGTGTACATATGCTCATGCACACATGTGCAGGGAGGCCAAACAACCTATAGGAGTTGGTTCTTTCCTTCTACTATGGGGGTCCTGGAGATTAAACCTCAGGTCTTCAGACTTGGAGGCATGTGCCTGTATATGCTGAGCCATTTCACTGGCCCTTCCCTGCCTGTAGTTTTTATTTCATGGGTTTTTTGTTTTGTTTTGTTTTGAAACAGGGTTTCCCTGTAATCCCAGTTGGCCAGGAACTTGTTCTATAGACCAGGCTGGCCTCAAACTCATAGAGATCACCTGCCTCTACTGGGATTAAAGGCGTGTCACCACTCCTGGCCTGGCTCTTGTTTTTTTCATATCATATGGCATATCACAAGTCACTGGCCTTGCTCTACATATATATGCAAGTTTGAAAAGACAATTGGTATAGGTTTTATTTGATAAAGATCCCTCGTTTGGAGTTACAGACCTTATTCCAGGTAAGTCAGTGTTAGAACCAGCCATTAGATGGCTTTTCCACTGTCAAGCTAAATTCATGTTTTTCTTTTAAGAAAACCTGACCCTTAGTAGTGTAAAGGAACCATAGGATATTAAACTAACTGGTGTTCATGGTGATTCTAGCTTTGGGAAGCTTTTGGTTCTGAGCTTTTGGAGAGCCATGGCCCTCTGGCCTCTCTTGCCTGCCTTTTGCTTCCCCTTCTTTTAGCCTCAGCTTTGGGCAGGGTGTTCCTTTAATGCGCTTGCTCTGTGAATCCCTCAGGTGAGACAGTGTCGCTTGTGGACGTGGACATTTCTCAGCGGGGCCTGACCTCTCCACATCCTCCAACTCCCCCTCCTCCTCCACGAAGAAGCCTCAGCCTCCTAGGTATAGTCTCCCCACTTCCCTTCTTGTCGTCTTGCCTTAGTATGAGGGTGAGTGAACTCTAGGGCCTTGCTCTTTGTCAAAAGCCAGATAAACTTCTGGGTTTCTAATGATGACCCAATTATTTCCTGTCCCTTTCTCAGCACCCTTGTCAACTCCATAGGCAGTTAAACAAGTCTCTTCCCTGCATGCTTGCAGTATTACTGTCCATATGTTAAAAGGCTTCACATTTCTCTTGCCGTTAATCTGTTGCTACTGGGCTGCTTTAGGAGAACCTTCACTTTCCTGCTTTCCAAGCAAAGCAACCCTGATGACTGTTGCCCACTGTGCAAAAAGATGGAGTGAAGGCCAGGCTACTTTGCCCCAGAGGGCAGCCTGATAACCTCCTGTTCTCCGCCTTCACCTTGCTGTTGTGTGCTCATTTTGCTGAACCTCTTGCTTTTGTTCTCTCTTCTAGATGATATCAGTGGGACGCTGCCTACATCTGTCCTTGTGGCTCCGATGGGGTCTTCCTTGCAGTCTTTCCCCCTACCTCCGCCTCCTCCACCCCACGCCCCAGGTTAGCTTAGCTCAGAGGCAAGACTTCTAAGAGTGGAAGGATGGGAGAAATCTGTTTATGGAAATAACAACTTAGGAGAACGCTTCAATCTTTTTCCCCTGGCTGAACTAGAACTTGAAAATGAGTCTGAGAACTTTTTTCTAACCTGTTTCTTTATGGAGGTTAATCTGATTTTTCTTAGTAATAAAAGACTGGAATTTTTTGTCCCTGTTTCTCAGGCTGTTTTGCAGTCACTTAAGAAACTGCCTTAATGTCAGGATAGTGGGAAAGTTTAATATGTTGCTGGTTATCAAAGTTCTCTGGTTTTTCTAAGCTTTTGGTATTTACTGCAGCCTTGTAAATAAGTACCAAGCATTTAGTAGCCCATACCTGCTTTGCCAGCCTCCAGTACCCAAGGAATAAAATGAATGAAATCGGCATTCTTTTCTACTTGCCTGGCAAAATCGTTACTCTTCCTGGGCAAGTAAGCGAGTCACTATTTCCAAGGCTGCTTTACCGGCACTTCACTTCGAGGTGGGAGAAGTTGGAATCGCTCTAGGCTGGTGAAGCCCCTGAAGTAGTCACCTTAGTCAGGTTAGTGAGCAGCTCCCCTACTTCTTTCCTGGGGTTGAATGCCCCCACCCATCCTTCACAGCTTACACGAGCCCACACAGCTTTTGTTCAGCCCATCCAGCTCTTTCCCACTGCTTTGGCTTCTACCCTCCAGCTTAGCTTCTAATGCCTTGCCCTCTTTTCAGTTAGCATCTCTTTTTTGGGGGGAAAGTCTGCCTGTGGGTAGGAACAGTGTGGATAAACTAGTGGTCCCCATTCTCTTGCCCTCCAGATGCATTTCCCCGGATTGCTCCCATTAGAGCAGCTGAATCCCTGCACAGCCAGCCCCCCCAGCACCTCCAGTGTCCCCTGTACCGACCTGACTCAAGCAGCTTTGCAGCCAGCCTTCGAGAGTTGGAGAAGGTAGGTGATGCCTATGGACAGGCAGCTCATCTTTCCTCTCACTACTAAGTTCTATACCCGAGTTCTACTGGTCTATACGAAGACAAGTTCTTTGTTTTACTGTTTTTAGAAGAAGAGTAGTTTCTTTGTCTTCTTTACAGTGACAAAACAGTAGGCTATTCTTGTTCATTCCACAACAAGTGTAATAAAATTCAATTTGGGTAGGAAAAATGTTGGACATAATGAAGAAAGATTGTAGAGAAATGTTTAGGTAGTCTAGATGGTTTTGCTAGATTAACTGAGCCAGTTCCCCCCACCTCTTTATAGGGCCCTTGGTAATGAGATACAGAATTGAGATACAGAATTAGTCTTCAAATTCTTTGGAGGACTAAAAGCATAAGGAACCTGGTATTTGCTACTAATGGTTGATGTACTTGTTAGTGGCTTTTACCTGCTCAGATGTTTTGGAGAATGGGGGCATCTCCTGGGTAAAACAGATTATGCTAAAAACTTGACATTTCTCTGTGTTAACTACTTTAATTGTTCCTTTTCTTTTGAAGTGCGGTTGGTATTGGGGGCCAATGAATTGGGAAGATGCAGAGATGAAGCTGAAAGGGAAGCCAGATGGTTCTTTCTTGGTACGAGACAGCTCTGATCCTCGCTATATCCTGAGCCTCAGTTTTCGATCACAGGGTATCACCCATCACACCAGAATGGAGCACTATAGAGGTAAGGGGTGCTGCTGTTATGAGAAAGCTGTTTTTACACTGTACCTTTCTGTTTTCTGTAATCTCTCTCTTTGCTGAGCCTGCCTGCCTTCCTTCTTTCCTTCCTTCCTTCCTTCCTTCCTTCCTTCCTTCCTTCCTTCCTTCCCTCCTTCCTTCCTTCCCTCCTTCCTTCCTTCCTTC